TATTGATAGAAAAATTGAGATACTCCATGTCTGGAATGGAATCGGATGTTGATTTCGCTTTTTATGAGCTTCATGGATATTCAAAATTTGGAGCATTTGTGGGGAGGTACCAGAAGGAGCGGACCGATATTGTCAATTTTCACACCAGACCTAGAATTGACGCATATATAAGGGTTTGCAAAGTTGGAGCAAAATCGGATTACCCTTTATTTTTCTGTGCAAAAAAATATATATTTTTTGAAAATTTCGACCACTTGTGGGGGAGGTACCAGAAGTAGTTGATCGATATATTCCATGTTAACACCAGACCTTGGGTTAATATAAATATTGGGATTTGTGAAATTTGAAGACAATCGGACTATTACATCACATTTTATGAGAGTTGTAATTATTTAAAATTTTGACCCTTTGTGGGGGAGGTACCAGAAAGAATGGACCGATATTGTCCATTTTCGCACCAGACCTAGCACTGACGCAAATATTAGGATATGCAAAGTTGGAGCAAAATCGGATTATCCTTTCTCTTTGTGTGTTGTAAATTTTCTTTGAAAATGTTGATATTTTGTGGGAAGGTACCAGAAGTTGTGGACCGATATTGCCCATCTCCGAGCTCGATCTAAGTTTGACAAAAATATTACGATGTACCAAATTTGGACCAAATCGGATACTCCCTTCGAGAGTTATCGTGCGCATCAGCCAGCCAGACAGACGGACGGATATCGCTAGAACGACTTCTGAAACGGATTTGGTTCAAAGAGACCTAGGAGACCTAAAACCGTTATCAAATGATATATACCCTCTGTAGCCATATGGCTGAGGGAATAATGAAGGGAGAGTAGAATATCGGGTGTTCTCTTCGCTTTATATGAGTTATAGGTATATATTTTTTGTGAGTTTTCAACTTTTCTGCAGGTACATTACGATTTGGGAAAGCCCCTATATAACGCCTCATTCTTGGTATGTTGAAGATTTAATCCACATTTCCATTAATCGCTCTCATTATATAGAATCTCCAACTGCCAAAGAAAAGCAACAAGGAATTTCAATTCCCTCAGCGAACTAGATTATACTACTCTAGAGGACCCATTACTGGATTTTTACTTAGAAATATTTCAAATATAAAAAAATATTTGCCTTTTTTCGCACAAAAAACCAAAATTTTCTTTGTCTTTCAAAACGTGTAGATCTTCTAAACTCAATGAACTTTCTACCGGCAAATAAATTTAAAAAAAAAAACAACACAACATTAAAATTGTTTTGGCAAATATCTGCAATAGAAACTAGATAAAAATAAAACGGTCATTTTTCGACAAGAATGAAAAAATGCTCTGACCTACATTGGACGCACACACAACGAAGTGAATAAGTTGTTTGCCTCTTTTTGCAAACACGACGACACGCAAATGCCAAGTAGCAAAGCAGAGCAAAAACATATAGAAACTTATCAAGAAGAACGTAAAAAAACCAGACCAGGCCTTGGGGTGTCTAGAGATAATGTTATCGGTGTGATTAACTTGTGGACCCTCCACAAGCCAAATACACTCACTTTACTTCCGAAATTATCAGAAAAATCGGACCCCCTTCCAAAAAAAAAAAAACAGAAACACATGCAAATATCTACAAAATACACATGCCTGTATAATACATACTACATAATATGTATATTAATTAATATGTATTCATGTATACACCCCCCGCATGTGACCAAGTTCTTCGATGCCATTTGAAATTCTAATGTGCAAAAAAAAAACTACATAACTGAACCAATTTGCCATAAATATTGAAATATGTATATACATATATATACAACAACCCACAATTTTTGCACAACACAAAAGTCGGACTTTGAACCCGCCAACTTGAAAAAAAAAAAACAAACAAAAACTGAAAATATTGCCGTGTGTGAGAGGTTGTTTTTATTTCTTTTTAGTATTTTGTTATTGTAGACTTGTCTATGACATTCAAGTATTTAGACATGCCAGTAGACGAGCGCGCTTTGGCGCTCTTCAAATTTATTTGACTTTTTCATTTCTCTGTTAAATTTATCAGCTACGACGACGTTTGCAGTGAGAATACCTCTCTCCCTCTCTTTTTTATATATAAACAGCAAAAAATAAAAACAAAAAAGTAGCGGGCAAAATAAAATCGCAATAAACACCACAACTTAGTTGGAAAAAATAGTTGGAATGTTGAAGATATTTTCCTGAAGATTAAAATGGGTGATAACTACTGCTACTACGGACTGACTGACTACCAATCTACTGCTGTATTTACTCAAGGTTATGTCGATGATACTGCAAATGGTTTTTAGGAGGAAATCATATTTTGGAGAGGGGGGGAGGGCAAGGATCTATAAATGTTTATGTGTATTAAGCGAACCTGTTGGAATCTATTCCGAGTTATTAAAAATAGATGGTGGTGTCCTTGTATAGTCGCCTTTCTCTACAGAAAATATAGGGCACACCAAAAAATTGTTATGGGTCAAAGACGGCGCTCATATGTACAAGATGTTTTATCTTCCAAAATAAAGTATATTTTTAAAATTATCTGCAGAGAGAAGATATTTCAAAGGTTTTCTGAGGGTAGGAGGCATTTTAAAGGTTGAATACAGAGGTGATAAGTCCGGATGCAAGTGCTTTGAAAGGTCTTGTATAAATACCCTTTAAAAGAATTTTTATAGAGGGGTTATTAAAAAAAATTACAGAAAAACAAGTAAAAAAATCAGATAAGTTCGGCCGGGCTAAACTCTTCATACCTTCTACTACTTTTTAACGAATTTGAAAAATTTCAACAAATTCCAACAAATACAGTTAAAATGATGAGCTTTATACGATGACTATACGAAGACGCAGACCTGCATAAGTAATTTTTTGTCATAGGCTATAGTACCCAGTAAGATCTTCAAATACGAAATTTGAAACAATTCCGGCATATTCCGGAATAGCCGGGCCGGAACGAACATTTAATACACCCTATCACTTTAAGGCTGTAGCACCCATTAAGATCTTCAAGTACGAAATTTGAAACAATTCTGGCATAATCCGGAATAATGTAGATCTTAAAATAATAAAAATGCCGAATATAGGGAGGTTATATCGGGGCTATACGAAGACCTGGACCTACATACATAATTTTCTGTCACAGGCTGTTGTCAAAATACGGAATATAGGGAGGTAATGATATATGAGGCCTATACGAAGACCTGGACCAGCATAGATAATTTTCTGTCACAGGCTGTAGTTGTACTTATTAGGAACTTCAAACAAGAAATTTCAAACAATTCCGTCGAATATTATACCTAAAATCGTCAAAATACGGAATATAGGGAGGTACTGATATATGGGGCCTATACGCAGACCTGGACAAGCATAGATAATTTTCTGTCATAGACTTTAGTTTCCATTACGAACTGTAAATACGAAGTGTGAAACAATTCCCGTAAAAAATGTCCCTTAAATCAACAAAATATCGAATATCGGGAAGTACCGTTGTATATGGGCTATACGATATCGTGGAACTATATAGTCATTTCTCTTCCAGGGACTAAAGTGCTTGGAAAGAACTTCTAGTATTGATTTTTAGACAATTCCAATGAAAATTTTGGCTTCAATCATCAAAATACCGAACATCGGGAGGTACCGTTATAGGGGAGATATTCGATATCATGGACTAATATGGGCAATTCTCTTCCAGGGGTAATCAAAACAAACTCCTTGTGTGAATTTTCAGACAATTCCGTTGAAAAATGTAGCTTAAATCATCAAAGTACCGAAAATTTAGGGAGGTATCGTTATATAGGGGAAATATGATCTATGAAGCTCATAAGACGCGAAATGAACATTCGATTCCATTCAGACTTGGCACATATCAATATTTTCATCAACACAAGATCTGTTATAAAGATGGTAGAGATCGGACCATTCCTTCTGGTACCTCCCCCACAAAGGGTCAAAGTTTCGAAAAACTAAAACGAACATAAAATCCGAAATAAGCATCCAGTTCTCGTAATATTTCACACACCCCATTATTTGTACTAACACAAGATCTGCTGCGAAGATGGACTATATTGGTCCACTCCTTCTGGTACCTTCCCCACAAAGGGTCAAAATTTTGAATATCCATGAAGCTCATAAAATGCGAAATTAACATCCGATTCCATTCAGACTTGGCACATAGCAATATTTCTATCATCACAAGATTTGTTATAAAGAAGGTATATATCGGAACATTCCTTCTGGTACCTCTCCCACAAAGAGTCAAAGTTTCGAAAAACTAAAACGATCATAAAATCCGAAATAAGCATCCGGTAGTCTTCATATTTGACACATCCCATTATTTCCATTAACACAAGATCTGCTGTGAAAATGGAATATATCGGCGTACTGCTTCTGGTACCTCTCCCACAAGCAGTGAAAATTTGGAATATCCATGAAGCAGATAAATCGCAAAAAATTAACATTCGATACATTCAGACTTGACACATCAATATATTTCCAAGAACCCAGAATTTCGGGTCAAAATCTGGGGTCTCGGGCCGTCCCCCAAGAAAAAAATTATTTCCCGGGATCAGGGTAAAAATAAATACCACGGGAAAAAAATTTTTAAAAATATTGAAGAGTTTTTACTTAACTTGAGTTAAGCCGTTCCATCTTTTTACCCCCTGTGGTTTTTAGTACCCCAGAAATTGGTCTTTGAATTTGCAAACTTCCTAAAAATTACAATAATTGCTAGGGAATCCCACACTTCAAAATTGTTATTTGAAATATTGAAAACAAAACATTAATTGCTGGCAAACCACAGGCCCCTTGCATGCTACCACGAGACTTATGCAAGTATTTTCTGAATTTATTTACGGCGATGCAGTGTAAACGGTTAAATGGACTTTGAAACCTGTTAGTTGCTCAAAAATATTTACTAAGTAAACTAAAAAAGGTTAATATTTGAAAAATATATTAATAAAAAAAAACATTTCCACACACACACACACACACGCTACCTACCTATATTTAGAAAATTTCAATTTTTTATATTTTTAGATGCAGCAATGTTTTCACAAATAACTATTTTTTTATTTTTTGATTTTTCCTTTTCAATCTGTTTTTTTTTTATATTTTTTCGGTTCTCCTCTTCAAAATTAACGATTTTTTCGTCGTTGGTTTTTTAATCACTTTTACTTTTTTTCCTTCAGTTTCTTTTACACCGCGCACAAATTAACGTTCACAGAGGTAATGTATTAAAGGTGGAAGTGATGGAATAAAAATACAAAAACAAAACAACAAATACGAATTCAATGAATTTGTTTGGTTTTCTTTGAATGCTTTCCGGTTTTTCCCCAAGTCTTTTTATTTCGTCTTCGTTTTCCGTTGCTAAACACCGTTTTTGATGATCCACGACGAGCGCCTCTCGAATGCCAACTGATTCAAATATCAGATGTGGAGGTCTACAAAAGTCTCAACTCATTCAATTTTATTTTTTTTTTTCGTAGTGAAAAACAAAAAAGTAAAGTGGCAGCGACAGCGGCAGGAAGGCAGCAGCAACGGACAGACAGCGAACCCACCAGCCAGCTGGTTTTGCTGTCGTCACATTTATATTGTGCGCTCCCTCTCAACATTGCAGGTGGCACAGTGGGTCAAAGTAATCATTTTTTTGGAGAGGGAAATCGAATTAATAATTAAATATAAGAGGAAAAAATGTGGTTTAATGGAAAATATATTGATTTTGTCCAAAATGGGGGTTATGGATCTACACTAAAGCTTCTTTGTATAGACATTTGTTACCAAATTAAAAAAAAAAATGCTTAATTGTTTGTAAAGTCGTGTTGTAAAGTCATGGGAAAAATCTCCATAGTACTTTGGAATAAAAACTCGACTTAAGGGTCCAAGATTTTAAGGTATTGGTCCAAAACAAATTTTTGTCAAGATTTCTTTGTACCACTAAAAATCATGCCAAATTCCCAAACATTTTTTGAAAATAGTTTCTGAATATTAAAAAAAAAATATGAAGACAAAGGTAAAAACGAGGACAAGGTTGGAAGTTCTTTGTAAGGTGGTTTTAATACTTTGGGCAACTATTTTAAATTATTTGGAATTGCAAAAATTGGAGTTTGCAAAATTCGGATAAAGCGGATAATAATTTTATAACATTTGAGTAACGGATAATGGTTTTGAAACATTCGGATAACTTAGTGATAGTGATTTAATAACTTTTTCCATAATGTGGACAATGATTTTACAACACTCGGATGACGTGGATAATGATTTTGAAATATTTGGATAACGTGGATAACTATTTTGAAAACTTCGGATAACTTGGATAAGGGTTTTGAAACATTCGGATAACGTGGATAATGATTTTGAAATATTTGGATAACGTGGACAAGGATTCTGAAATATTTCGATAACGTGTATAAGGATTTTAAAATATTCAGATAACGTGTATAAGGATTTTGAAATATTCGGATAGCGTGGATAATGACTTCAAAATATTAGGATAACGTGGATAATGATTTTGAAACATTCGGATAGCGTGGATAATGGTTTAATAAATTTTCTACAATGCGGATAAATATTTTGAAACATTTGGATAACATGGATAGTGAGTTTGAAACACTCCAATGACGTGGATAATGATTTTTAAATATTTGGATAACGTGGATAATAATTTTTAAATTTTTTAATAACGTGGATAAGGATTTTGAAACATTCGGATAACGTGGGTCATGTATTAAAAACATTCGGACAACGTGGATAATGATTTGATTGCATTCGGATCACATGAATAATAATTTTAAAATATTTGGATAACGTGAACAATTATTTCGAAACATTCGTATAACGTGGATAATGATTTTGAAACGTTTGGATAACGTGGATAAGGATTTTGAACCAATTGGATAACGTGGATTAAACATACGGATAACGTGGATAATGATTTTTAAACATTTGGAAGCGTGGAAAATGATTTTGAAACATTCGGATAACGTAAATAGTGATTTTGAAACATTTGGATAACGTGGATAATGATTTTGAAACATTCGGATATCGTGGATAATGGTTTAATAAATTTTCTAAAATATGGATAACTATTTTGAAACATTCGGATAACAAGGATAATGATTTTGAAACACTCTAATGACGTGGATAATGATTTTGAAATGTTTGAATAACGTGGATAATGATTTTTTAATATTTGGATAACGTGGATAAGGATTTTGAAACATTCGGATAACGTGGATAATGATTTTAACACATTCGGATAACGTGGATAAAGATTTTGACACATTCGGATAACGTAGATAATGATTTTGAAATATTTGGATAACGTGGATAATGATTTTATAGCATTCGGATAACGAGGATAATGATTTTGAAACACTCTAATGACGTGGATAATGGTTTTGAAATGTTTGGATAATAATTTTTAAATATTTGGATAACGTGAACAATGGTTTTGAAATATTCGGATAACGTGGATAATGGTTTTGAAATATTTGGATAACGTGGATAATAAATTTTAAATATTTGGTTAACGTGACAATGATTTTGAAATATTTGAAAAACGTGGATTTTTAAATGTTTGGATAACGTGAACAATGATTTTGAAATATTCGGATAAAGTGGGTAATGTTTTTAAACATTTAGATAACGTGGATAATGATTTTATTGCATTTGGATAACGTGGATAAGGATTTTAAAATATGTGGATAACGTGGATAATGATTTTGAAACATTCAGATAATCATTTAATAAATTTTCAACATTGTGGATAATAATTTTGACACATTCGAAAAACGCGGATAATGATAAATCATAATTTGAATAACGTAAATAATAATTTGGCACAATTCAAATAACCTGGATAATGATTGAGCATAATTTGGATAACCTGGATAATAATCTAGCATGATTTGGAGAAACTGGATTAAATGGATAATGATATGGTATGAATAATGTGGATTATGATTTTAAAATATAACTGATTCATAATTATTGAGATAATCCGAAAAAATTAATTAACATTTTTTCAAATCAGTGAAAAGCTTCCTTATATTTAAAAAAATTTTATTAATTTTTTGTCTCTCCAAAAAATTCGATCGTTTCCAAATTGTTACCACTGTCCATTAAAAAACAAGTATGCATTTGTTTTTGTCGTTTTTTCTTGTTTGGGGGCCAAAACTACAATTCATTTCATTTTGAGAAGAATATAATCTTCAAAAAGAGAACTATGCATTGTTGCAATAGTTGCGAGAGCTGAGAGTGAATAGAATTGCATTTTCTTGTAAAGAGACATCGAAGAGTGATATTGTGTTTTTATTTGGCCCACAAAATGCACAACTACGACAAGTTTGAACAATTTCAAAAGGGGTCAATTGAGCTACTCCATATTTGGGAGGCCGGTTTTGAAGACAGCAACAGAAAACTACAGCAATTTGTTTTTCCACCCATTTGTGGGTATTATTTTTTTATGCTTATCTTCGATTGAGAAATGTTGCGATAAGGACTTATTTGTGGCAGGCAGTTGAATGAATGAGAACAGCTCTCTCCCTCTCGTGGAAACACAACAAAAAAAAAATAACGGTGCACCACATTATGTTGTTTGGGGGGGTCTGTCTCCCATACGTCTCTCTCTCTCTTTCTCCGTATGTCATTATTAATCACCACAAAATTCGTCTAGAAGAAATTATGTGTAGCTATGAAGTTGAATGCGGCCTACGTGATTTTGTAATGTTGTTTGTGTGTGTTTTTGGAAAACTCCAGTTGCCATTGTTTTCAAAATGCATAACATGATTTCCCATACCTGCCTATTCATCTACCATATGACTTGGTCAACCTGATTGAAGGTGTTTATAGTAAAAGAAAACAAAAAAACCCACCAAAAGAAGAGGAAAACAACAAGCCAAGTTACTTGCATGGACAAGTTACAATAATGGGTCCAAAACAACTTTGTTATGTGGCTACAAGATTTGTTTTGCTACAAGAGTCACATACACACACACATTTGAACATCCATGTGCATTTGTATGTATGTATCTAAGAAGATATGGGAGCATTTTTTGGAATTTAAGGGCAAATCTCAAACCTGTTGATTGTCACGCAACAACAACAACAACAAGTTTCTTCATCCTCAATGGAAAAAAACAAAAACACACCCACCGTATTGGCCTCCACACTTATACTCACGCCCATATGCATGTATGTATAGGTATATTTTAAAAAATGAAAATAAATAGCTGCCTTTTCTATGAAACATTTTCGGGCAATGGAAAATTTTAAAAAATTTCAAAATTAGAAAATCTGAAATTCTTTTTGTGATCCTCTTTAATTGTTTTGTGTATTAATTTAATTGATCGCCACCAGATATATACCCACAACCAATGTTCGATTACTTAAATATATTTTGACTTCTGTTATGATTATTCTAATAGGTGACTCTCTATGGAGTATGTTTCGAAGGCCTGGGCCAATATTGCCCATTTCGTATCGGAGCTAAATAAATATGATATAAATATTGCGACGTGCCAGATTTGGACTAAATCGACCACTTCCATCACTTTATATGAGATATGTGATAATTTTGAGAAAATGTTTTGGAATGTGCGTGAGGTACCATATATAGTCTGGCCAAAGTATTCCATTTTCGTACTTATACTTGGTATGGCCAAAATTTCATGAAAATCGAACATTTATATTCAATTTTATGAGAAGTCATAAATTTCACATTCACAAAATATTTGGATGTGTGAAATTTAAAAAGAATTGGGTGCTTATTTCGGATTTTATGATTGTTTTGGTTATTCAAAACTTTGACCCTTTGTGGGGGAGGTACCAGAAGAAATGGTCCGATCTTTACCATTTATATTACAGATCTTGTGCTGATAGAAATATTGAGATGAGCAAAGTCTGAATGAAATCGAATGTTAACTTCGTGTCCTATGAGCTTCATGGATATTTAAATTTTTGACCCTTTGTGGGGAAAGTACCAGATGGAGTGGACCGATTCACTTCATCTTTGCAGCAGATTTTGTGTTAGTAGAAATAATGGGATGTGTGAAATATGAAGAGAACCGGATTCTTATTTCGGATTTTATGATCGTTTTGGTTATTTAAAACTCTGAGCCTTCGCGGGGGAGGTATCAGAAGAAATGGTCCGATCTCTACTTTCTTTATAGCAGATCTTGTGTTGATGGCAATATTGAGATGTGCCAAGTCTGAAAGGAGCCGGGTGTTAGTTTCGCATTTTATGAGCTTCATGGATATTCAAAATGTTGACCCTTTGTGGGGGAGGTGCCTGAAGGAGTGGACCTATATATTCCATGTTCACATCAGAGCTTGGCTTAGTAAAAATATTGTGATGTGTGTAATTTGAAGACAATCGGACACTTACATCACATTTTATAGGAGTTATAATTATTCAAAATATTGACCCTTTGTGGGAGAAGTACTTGCTG